GGCAGGAACCTCTGGCAAGGGGTGCATGTGTGTGAGCGTCCACACGCACATGCGTGGGGTTCCCTCCTGTTCAGAGGCTCAAGTGCCACCTCAGCGTCAGAGTCTCTGCAGAGAGAGGGAAGGGACTGCGTGCATGGCTTTGCTGAGGGACGGAAAGGAAGAGGAGGGGAGAGGATTTCTGCTCATCAGGCTCACGGCTCAGCGAGTCTGTTGCAGGGTTGTGGGCCCTGAGACGGCCCCCGCCACAGAGCCGGCTGTACCAGTGGATTTGACATCTGGGCAGTTGTCATCCGAAGTCCTCCCTTCCTGCTGGACTGCACACTCCACAAGGCAGGGGCTGTCTGTCTTGCTCCCCAGCATAGCCCCAGCCCTGGCACAGGCCTGGCACCCTCCAGATACCTGTAGACAGTCGTCGGGTGAGTAAGTAGTAACCGAATGGAGGACACGGTGGAGACCAAGACCCGACATGCTCTGGGGAGCGCCCACCTCGTGGGGGGAGATGGACAATGAGACCAGGCTTAAAGCATGTGAGGGGCCCGTGGGAGCACAGGGCACATGAGGGGTTCCTCCCCAGTAAGGGAGCTGCTGCACCTGAGACCTGAGGCCACCAGGCCGAGGGGGGACAGGAGCATGCCAGGCATGGGGGGCCTTACGGACGTGGAGGGAAGCAGGAGAAAGACTGCCCTGCAAGGCAGCCCCAGCCTCGCGCGTGCATGCAGTAGGTGCTCACTCAGCACCCATGGTGTGAATGAAGCGTGTGGTTCCAGGCTGCTGCGGAGCTTCGGTGGGGAGGTCAGGGAGAGGAGGCTGCGAGGAGGTGGGCCGCTGCCTCCCCACCACGCACACACCCTCACCTCAGCAAACCCCACCTTCAACAAGGACACAGACTCCTGCCCGTCCCCCTCGGATGGCCCTGAGTGTCAGGTCTGTCCGCATCTGTGCTGACGTCCTTCCACTCGGGTGGGCTGCTCCAGTGGGAGTGGCCTCAGTCCTTTCAGGCGATGGGGCCTTTCTCCCAGCACAGATGCCTGCGGTCAGCGCCTTACCTGCACAGAGGGGCCTGTGTCCCGGGGTGTGTCTGCAGTGGAGGACAGCGTGCGAGAGCAGCCGGGACCCCACCCCTCTCCCACCTCCACCTGCACCCTCTCTCTGACTCTATGAAAGACCCAGTCCCTTTCTCTGGGGCAGGAGCACTTTCCACCAGGGCAGCTTTTGATACCCTAAAGCAGTGGTCCTAACTAGCACCCAAGTTTCAAAGGAGGAGGTCTGGACTGGGCTTGCGAGTCTGCATTACCTGCTCACGTGCTCCCAGGTGAGGCAGATGCCATGCGCCCGGGCACCCCACTTTGAGAACTGCTGCCCTGGAGCCTTATGGGGCCCTGCTAAGGGTCTGGGCTTCTAGCAGCCCACAGGAGGGGCTGGGGTCAACGTCGAGGGAGCGTTTTTCCCCCTCCTCAGGCAGCAGGCGGAGGGCAGGAGCAGGGGGCAGGCTCCGTGTCAGGCTTCTCACNACCCCACCCCTCTCCCACCTCCACCTGCACCCTCTCTCTGACTCTATGAAAGACCCAGTCCCTTTCTCTGGGGCAGGAGCACTTTCCACCAGGGCAGCTTTTGATACCCTAAAGCAGTGGTCCTAACTAGCACCCAAGTTTCAAAGGAGGAGGTCTGGACTGGGCTTGCGAGTCTGCATTACCTGCTCACGTGCTCCCAGGTGAGGCAGATGCCATGCGCCCGGGCACCCCACTTTGAGAACTGCTGCCCTGGAGCCTTATGGGGCCCTGCTAAGGGTCTGGGCTTCTAGCAGCCCACAGGAGGGGCTGGGGTCAGCGTCGAGGGAGCGTTTTTCCCCCTCCTCAGGCAGCAGGCGGAGGGCAGGAGCAGGGGGCAGGCTCCGTGTCAGGCTTCTCACAGTCACCTCGAAGGGTCCTCGCTGCCGGCTGTGAAGTGTGCGCTTAGTCTCGCTGTCCGTGAGAAACGCGAGGCTCGGAAACCTTAATGAGGTGGCAACCCTCCTCAGGCAGCAGGCGGAGGGCAGGAGCAGGGGGCAGGCTCCGTGTCAGGCTTCTCACGGTCACCTCGAAGGGTCCTCGCTGCCGGCTGTGAAGTGTGCTCTTAGTCTCGCTGTCCGTGAGAAACGCGAGGCTCGGAAACCTTAATGAGGTGGCAAGGAGGCGGGTTGGCTGGAAGGGCAGCAGGAGGGTCCCTGTGCTGATCGTGCCCGGCTCAGTGTCAGGATCCTGGTGGCGATGCCGTGGTGGGACCCGGGGTGGAAGGTGCACGGGGTCGCTCTGTGCTATTTTCTCCAACCACATGTGAGTTTGCGATGATCCCACAATGAGGTAGTTATGTTTTTTAAATTAGTTGGGTTACAAAAGAACCTTGAGTCGTATACTCAGGCATGAGTAAGTGGATTCACATCTGGGGGAGTCTCACTCCAGACCTGGGCTCCCCAGCACCCCCGGCCCTGAGCTGGCGCCCATGCTGGGGGAGCCCCCACGTCGAGGGCCTGGAAAATACAGCTGAAAGGACTGTGCTGATACCACAGAGGCTTCTGGAAAATCTCTGCCCAGCCAAAAGGCGCCATCGCTCACAGGCTCAGGGAAAGCGACAAGACTGTAACCAGGCCTTGCTCTCTCTCCTCCACAGGGCAGTCAGGACGCCACGGCTCCGCCTGAAGCGATGGCCCAGCCCTACCCCCCTGCCCAGTACCCGCCTCCGCCACAGAACGGCATCCCTGCCGAGTACGCCCCGCCCCCGCCGCACCCCACGCAGGACTACTCGGGCCAGACCCCGGTCCCCCCAGAGCACGGCATGACCCTGTACACACCAGCACAGACCCACCCCGAGCAGCCAGGCACCGAGGCCAGCACACAGCCCATCGCCGGAACCCAGACAGTGCCGGTAAGGGACCCCCGGCGACCCCGCAGCCCAGCCCAGGAGCTTCATGGGGCAGAAGGGTGGCCCAGGAGGGCATGAGCGAAGCAGGGTGGGTGGCGGGGCTGGGGGGTCCTGTGTGTGCCCCACCATAGGACTGGGGCAGTCCTATGGAGGGGGTTCCTGGTCCTGGGGTCCTCACCTCCAGGAAAGGTGCTCCCAGCCCCTGCCCTCAAGTTCCTGGTCACCTGACACCAAGGCTGTTTGTGGTGAGCAGGTGCCGTGGAGGGACGGCCGGCAGGACACCGAGGGGTGGGGCCTCTGGCTGGGCCCGGCAGACCCTCACTTCCTCTAGGAGATGGGCAACGTGTCTTCAGCTGCCAGCAACCTGTTAATGGAAAGTGAGGGAAATGGCCAGGACCAGAGGCCTGGGCTGGCCCGGGGTCACGGGGGCAAGCTGGAGGGGGCGGCGGGGAGGCGGCTGAAGGCCCTCTGAGCCGTCCTGGGTTGCAGACACTCCTATCATTTCTAATCACTTGTAATCTACCTGCTTGGCTGCCCTCCAATCAGATAGCTTCAATTATGTGGTTGTAATGCAGCTCTGGGCAAAAGTGCTGAGCCCTGCACTTCTCAGGTTTCCTGAGAGCACGGGGAGCCGGGAAGGAGTGGCCGGCCCGACTGGGGTGGGCTCCCTGGGCAGGCAGCCCCCTCCCGGAGACCAGGCTGCTGCGAGGCCTGCCCCCACTGCGCCCCAGAGCCCCTGCTGACCCCGTCCCTCTCCGGGTGTCTTCCCCCGACCCTGCTCTGAGGCTGTGGGTTCACCCACTGTCCCTGCTGGCTCCGTTCCAGTAGCTGGCTGTGCTGGCAGGCGGGCGCTGGGCAGTAGGCCAGCACACTCTGCACTGCCTGGAAGTGGCACCTCCCCGGCGGCCTCCCGATGCCCTCCTGAGCTGTGCCCCCTCAGCCCCGCCCCAGTCCAGGCGGCTCCCAAGCTGCCACGTGGATGCAAATGTCGCCTTCCCCTCCCCGTGTGGGCATCACCAAGCTCCCTGTGGAGGGAGCCCACCCAGCTGCCCCCAGGGCTGGGCCTGACCCTCCTCTGGTGCCAGCCAGTGCCCTTCCTCCCTGCCTGGAGTGCTGCCCTGAAGCCGTCAGACTTCATTCCCCGGCATCCTGATGCAGCGTGACTCCCCCGGGCTCCTCCAGCTGCAGGCCGCAGATGGAAAAGGCCAGGCCCGCGGGCCCTAGAACGGCAGCCAAACCATACTTCCTGCTGCTCTGGTTCTGCATCACCAAACCCATGACCCACATGTGCTCAGAAAAGAGAGGGGATCCCAGCAGCCAGAGTGGGTTCACCGTGAACAAGTCGTGGCCAGGCGGCTGGGTCTCCTTCTGTGGACTCTGGTAGAGAAGGCGTATCTGGTCAGATCTCTGACAGCCTCCTGGGGACAGGTGAAGGGTGTCAAGGCGGTCAGAGTCACAGAAGACATGAAGCAGGGAGCGATCACTCATGGCTGAGCAAGAGAGATAAGCCTGGAAGCCACCCTGCCCCAGTGACACCAGACACCACCTTCCAGGACACACATAAAGCCTTTCTCCATTCGGCAGACATTTGCTGAGCACCTACTGTGTGCCAGGTGCTGGATTAGCACTGGCGGTACAAGGAAGAAATGACCCAGCCCTGTCCTCTGCTTGTCCAGCCAAGGACAGAAAAGTCAGAAGCGGAGGCCCAGCTTGCCTGTAAGGGTCCACGGGCCCTGGAGAGGATCCCGAGGCACAGCAGGTGCTGAAAAAGCTAATGCTGTATCCAAAGAGCAGAGCGTCCCAACCAAGAGGGGAGAGTTGAGCTCGCCGTTTGGGTCATGGCCCCTGTACCTCCCCAGGGGAGGACCTGGGCCAGAGGACACCCAATGGACAGGCTGCCTTGACCTTCCTTTCTTCAGGCTGGGTCTCTGCAGGTCCTACAGGGGGTCAGGGTTGTAGTCGGCAGATTCTTCATCCAGGGATACGGAGGAGAGATGGTCATGCTCCCTGACCCCAGGCACAATACAGGGATGCAGGTGGAATCGCTGGATCTGCAGCAGCAGGAAGACCTGGAAGACCCCCAGAGCTGCCCCACAAAGACCTGGGCCACTCTAGGGTGCATGAGTCCTTGGACCTTGGGGTACTTCCCACCTGGGGAGGGAGGTGGACCAGGTGCCATGTCCGGTTTTAAGATTCTAGGAGCCGCCTGCTTCCCAGGGAAGCTGCCCCGTTCTCACAGCTGCAGGCCAGACACCTCTGTGTGAGGACAGGTGTCCCCACAGCCCTCCTTGTGGATGTTAGGAGGACTCTCAGCTCCTCTTGGCCCTTCCCCAAGCTGCCTGGTGTTAGGATCGAGGGGGACAGCGGTGGCAGGGGGGGTGAGCAGGGGGACAGTGGTGGCAGGTGGGGCTCCAAGTTTTGCTCACACCTGCCCTCTCTGGCCTGGGTCAGGGCCTCCCCTTGAACTCCCATGATGCTCAAGGGCCCACATGTGGCCACCACGTTCCCTGGTCTCTTCTTCCCATCACTTGTGAAGTCCCTCCCGGGCACTGCCCTGGAGTGCCTGCTGTCAGCACCAGGTCGGGCCCCTCTGTGGGCCCAGACACTGCCCAGGGGATTTCCTTCTGCTGGTGAGTGCAGGCTGCCCTGGCTGGAGGTGTGACCAACCCAGCAGGAAAAGGGCACTCAGAGAGCCCATCCGGCAGCCACATCACCCGCCCCACCGTAGCCATCGCAGAGCAGGCCTTGAGAAGGCTGGTTCCTGCCCAGGCCCAGGGGCTGATGCAGGCGGCCTATGTCGTCCCGGGACCTGGGGCTAATGGTGTGGATGGGGGAGAGCTGTGGCCCCATCTCCCCACCCCCAGCACCCCAAAGACATGTACCCCAGGCTCCACTCAGGAAAGGCTCTCCTGGAATTTCTGGAACCACCAGGCCTCTTCCTTCTCGTCTGCCCTCAAGGGCCCCATCTCCCCACCCCCAGCACCCCAAAGACATGTACCCCAGGCTCCACTCAGGAAAGGGTCTCCTGAAATTTCTGGAACCACCAGGCCTCTTCCTTCTCGTCTGCCCTCAAGAGGGTGTCCAGCTGGGAATCAGTGGGAAATCTGTGTCCCAGCCCATCCAGGGCCCTTCCTGACACCTCCATCATGCCAGCGAGATGCCCAAAGCCCCCTGAGTAACAGAGGCACAGCTGTGCCTGTGGACAGAGACGTGAGGGGTGCCAGGGAGCGCTGCAGGCCACTGGCCCACTGGCAGTGCTGTGACTTGCGAGGGCCTCGGCCCTAAGCATCCCATGGAGGACACGGCTGGCACTGATTTCCATGCTCTCCTGCCCTCCAGGGGGTTCCCAACCACCCCCAGTGACTTTCCAGCTGCACTGGTTTCCTGGAAGCAGCTTGTCTTCTCTGCCTAGGAGACCTCTGTTCACCGTCCAGACATGCAGAGGACCCTGCGCTGGTAGGGCCAGGGCTGCGCGTTCCGTGAGGAGGAGGGACCGGCTGCCGAGCCGCCGGGAGGGCCAGGACAGCTGCACGTGGATTCCTTCTCTCGCGCTCTTATCATCTGGCGTCATCTGTGCTCTTTGACGAAAGGCAGCAGAGGGTACAGGGTGCGATCACGGCAACGACGGGCCAGGGGACCCCAGGGTCTGCAGCTGTAGATGGGGGACCGCCGCCCTGGAGCAGTCACTCAGGGTCCCTGTGCTCCAGGGAACCTCAGCGGACTAAGAGAGACTGGCGTGAGGATGGAAAGTGCCAGAACAGTGCGTGGAGGGTCACTTTGTCCAGCCCAAGCCTCCTCTTGGAAACTCCCCCCACTCTTCTGGTCTTCCACTTGGGCCTCCTCGTCGCAGCTGAGGACCTCCAGTCATGCCCGAGGCCCTCTCTCCTCCTGAAGGAGCCACAGCCTCTGGTCCCTGCGTTCTCGCCTCTCAGGGCTTAAGGAAAGGGCAAGGGGTGGGCCGTGCTTGGAATTGGGCGTGAGCAAAGCAGAAGAGAAGAGGTGTCGGCCCCACGGTGAGGCTTGGCCGTGATGCCACTACCCCGGCTGGTGGGTGGAAGCAGGCGACATGGTCGGTCAGCCGCTGCTGCCACCAGCACCGTGCCGGAGAGGTGCCTGGTACAGTGTGTCATTCTCAAACAGAGCCCAGGAGGGAGCGCACAGCTCCATCGAGGAGAGGCCCCAGTGACCCCAGACCCTGAAGACAGTCCTAGCGGATGGCTCAAGGCCACATGTGCAGAACCCCTGCTCAAAGGCCAACCGGCTGCTCACCGGGGCTGGCCGCATCGGGCCAGCAGAGCTGACACTGGGTCATTGAGTGCCCAGGAGGTCTTCGGAGGAAGAGGATGGAGGAGAGGAAGGAGATTTCCAGGAGCCAGCTCATCTCATGCCGTGTCAGCAAAGCTTGGCTCCGTCCCTGCGACCGGCCGCCGGGTCCTGCCTGCTGCCTGGGCCCGTGTGGACCCACCGGCCCCTGCCCAGAGCCGACTCTCTTGGCCTCTCCATGCTGAGCTGGGGGAGGCGCAGGCAGAGGGGGTGCTGCCTCCTACGAGGGTGGCGAGGGTGGCATCAGACCTGCTCCCGGCCCACCAGGCGCTGGCTCTGGCCTTGAATGGGGGTTGGGGGTCCATCATGGCTGGGACCAGACATGGCAGTGGAGAAAGGCACAGAAGAGAAGCCAGCGGCGGCGGGGGAGGTCGGGGGTGTCGCTGCGGATGTCTCCTTTCCTCTGCGTGTGAGAATCAGAACAAAGATTGCTTTAAAAAAAATAAAATAAAAGGAAAGGAAAGGAAGCCCCTCGGAAAGCGGCTGCGGCTGCCTGCGCCGCTGTGATAAATGGCAGGACGGCCTCCGTCTCCCCTTGGGCGGCGGGTGAGGTTATGCTCGGGGATTCCTCAGCACATCTTACAATTTTACAGTCATTGAACCCATTTATCTGCCTCTGTCCGCAGCTGAGCTGGGGGACAGGGCCCCTCCCTTCCCGTACCCCGGCCCCGCGCACGGCTCATCCCGCACACCTCATCGCCCCAGTTCTCCTGCCTCGCCCTCGCTGCTCCCCTTTAGGGCCTTTGGGCAGGGTGCCGGGGGCCCCGGCTGCATCAGCACCACCCATGGTCCCCGCCCGGCCCTTCTGGTGGGAGTGGATCCCTTTCCCCGTCCCGGCCATGCTGACCGCTGCCCTCTGCTGGTCTGAAGCCAGCATTGCATGCCCTGTTCCTGGTGACTCAAGTCACCTGTCCCCAAGAGCAGCTGAGGGCACAGGTGTGTGGAATGCACAGGGGATTCGACAGGGGCACCATGCCCACCCTGAGCACTACATGGATGGAGGGGCTCAGGCCTATGCCAAGATCAGCGGATGCTTGAGAGGTTTTGCCGTGGTTCTATGATCGACCCCACTGGAGTCTAGCACAGGCTTGCATTCTTCACTGGGACCAAGGAGGACGGCAGCAGCACTGGGAAGCTGGGCTGCTGGGCATCTCTGGCTCCCCCAAAGAGCCCTGTAGAGCCCAAGTCATCTTGTTGCCTGTCACAGGCAGGGATCTTGTGCAGGCCAGACCAGGAGTCTCCAGAGGCTGTTATCTGCCCTGCTGCCCCTGCCAGCTGTTCCTACTGCACATGCCTCCCTGCCAAAGCCCAGCTCCCGGTGATGGGTTCCTGGGATAGCAGTCAGTGAACTCCAAGGAACAGCTGCCCAGCTTGCCAGAGCTTAAGGGCACCAGTGCCTCGGACAGCCCCAGCCGCTCACCCCCTCTCGGGTACACTAGGAAGGCACTGGTTCCACTGACAGCCCCACACCTTGGGGACACATAGTGCTCAGAGAACACACATTCGTCAGAACTGGGCCAGACACGCTTCATATGGCTGACGTGCTGAGACCTGTCGGGTCTTTTCATCATCCAGGCGAGCGCGAAGACAGCGGTTTCCCACGCCATGGAGTGGATGTGTGTCACTTCTCAGCGCAGGAAAGCAGAGCTGCATCGTAGGGACATTTGAGCAGGAGGCTCCACACCCCTGCTCCCTCGGACCGTACTCCCAGCCCGCCACTGGGTTCTGCAGGCTGTCACCAGGGAAGAGGCTGAGGCGTGGGGGAGGTTGCTCCTCGATTCCTGTGCAGCCCAGGAGGTGGTGACTCACCTCTGGGCACCTGCTGCCCGGAAGCCTCATCAGATTCCTCCACGCTGAGCGCAGAAGTGGGGGAGTGGCCCATCCTTCCAGAAAGGGTAACCAAGATGGTCACTGAGGGGCAGGGAGAGCTGGACAGCCACTCAGACAGGAGTCCAGAGACTGATCTCTGGCCACTTGGCCTCAGCCTGGCCTTGGAGGAGGCCCCACCCCCTGGGCTCCATTTCCTCCACTGGAGACCAGGCCCTGGGCACAGTGACCTCAGGCTGCCCCAATCACCATCCTGACTGGGTGGCTGTCATACCTGTCAGTGCTCCTCTGGTTGCTGGCGATGGACACCCACCTGAAAGTGGCTTCAGCAATCCGGGAACTGCCTGGAGACCCTTGGGAATTGCTCTCTGGACATCTATTGTCACAGCTTCTCTCCTCTTGCCACCTGTGCCTCACCGGCCGCCACAGCCACCAGCACCTCCATTTGTACCAATTCCAGCGTAGCCTCCGGGGACCCTGACCTCCTCTGCCTTTGCTACAGAAAGGATCAGCTCAGCAGGAGCCAGGCCCCCCACCATCAGCCATGTCCCATCCCTGGGGCAGACCTGGAGTGGAGGAGTCCAGTGCAAGCAGTGTATTTGGGAGGTGGTCGCACAAAAACCCCGGGGGCAGCAGGAGATTGAAGCAGGAAGGGACGGAAGCCAACAGAAGGTGCATGCCCAGGCTCGGTCCCCACGGCAGCTGAGCTCATCCCCACTGGGGAAGTCGGGCACAGCGAGAGACCCCTCAAAGGAAGCCCATGGCGGGAGCTGGGGTGTCCTTCCACCCACCTGTGTCTGTGGCCACCGAGACCTCTCCTGGACACGAGCACTCCAGTGCTACCCACAGTGCAGCTGCCCAGCCAGGGGTACGTAGCAGGGCTGGTGGTCTGCAGTCTGGGTCAGGCCCAGCAGCCAGGTCGTGGTGACTGACGCCCCATCGGCTGGCCTCTGTCTATCCAACCAGCCCACATGGATGAGACGCCTGCCGCGTGCCTGTCTGTTGTTGCCACCAGGGATGCAGTCAGGACGAGCCAGGCCAAAGGCCAGCCTCGCAGTGAGCACATGGCTCATGCGCTGGAGCAGCCCAGGCAGGAAGAGCCTCGCACACACCGCACCCCACGCCCGGGGCCTTGTCCCGACCTCCTCCTCATGGGGAGCTGGGGGTGGGGGCTGGCACATGGGCAGCTTTGTTTTCTGAGACCCAAGTTTCGGAGCCCATCTGCTGACCTGTGCCGTAGAGGAGGCTCCTGGAGGCGGCCCCCAAAGGTTCTACATGGTAGCTGCAGAGCTAGAACAGAGCGGAGCCTGTGGGGAGACGGCCGTGAAGGGTCAGCACCCTACGGAGGTGTGGGCCCGGGGCTGGTTCTGGAATCCATCTTCACTTATCATCGGGCATCGAAAGCCAGAATGGCCCCAGCATTCCCAGAACTTACTCGGGAACCAGAGTCGTCCATGGGGCTGAGGCCTTGAGGCTGGGCCTCTGTGGACAGGCCTGAGCTGCGGCGAGGGGAACAGACCCGGCCAGAGAGGCCTGGCACTGGGATGGCGGGGGAAGCAGCCTCATGGGCATGGCTTGGGCAAAGGCGTGGGGCCCTCTGGGTTGAGATGCTGCTGGGTGCATTTCGTGGGAACAATCTGCCCAGATCCTCTTGAGGGTCCCGGGCCCAGGGACGGGCGAGGCCACGAGGGCTGGGGGAGAATGTGCTCTCTAGATCCCCTCCGTCTGGCAGAGGGGGCGGGCAGGCGCTGACAGACAAGGCAACCCCCACAGCTGGGTCCTCTCCCCGCAGCAGACAGACGAGGCGGCACAGACGGACAGCCAGCCGCTCCACCCCTCCGACCCCACAGAGAAGCAGCAGCCCAAGCGGCTCCATGTCTCCAACATCCCCTTTCGGTTCAGGGACCCTGACCTGCGGCAAATGTTCGGGGTGAGTGTGTGCAGGCCCATCCATCCCTACCCCCCACAGCGGCCCTGAGGCCAGAGGGGCTCCCCACGGCCTCTGCCTTCCTACCCGCACACCAGTCCCCCCAGTGTCCTGCCTCTGCCATGCGGGGAGCCTCCAGGGTCCCGGGCTGCCTCCCTCCTGGGTCCAGCGCCGCTCGGACCTGAATCTGTGGGGCAGGGGTGGGGAGGGAGGAAGGACTCCAGCTCAGGATAGAGGGATCTGTTGGGGCTGCCCCTCGAACCCCAGCCTCCTGCTCCCCAGCCAGAAATCTGCCTGCTACCCCTGTACCACCTATCCTCAGGGGCTTCACGGAGTCCCCGAGGGCCTGGCAGCCAGTTTGGTTATTACTCTCCTGTCTCTACCTTCTGACTCCTGTCTCCCTGATCCCCCATCAGAGGGCACCTGGAGGGGCAGCCCAGTTCCCGGCCTCACACAGAGCAACGGCCCCAGCCTGGCCTCTGCCGTGTGCCTGGGGACCAGGCACTCAGCCTCTCTGGGCCTGTGTCCTCCCAGTTCCTGGGTGGGGCAACTTGAAAATGCTCAAGGGGTGGGAAGCAAGCTCGTGAGGCTTCCCCTCCTGGACTCTCCAGGCCTGTTGCTGGGTTTTGCACTGTGGGCTCCCCAGCCAGTTGCAGTGTTCTTTTGGGAACATGCAGGCTCCCTGTGGGTCCTGTAGGTGCTTTATTCTGTCACTGGACTTGACACCTTGCAGGTGCTGACACCCACAGGGTGCTGGACTGCTGAGTGGGTGGGGTAGAGGCAGCAGCCAGGTAGCCTTGCTGGGCACAGGACAGCCCCCCAGGCTCCCGGGCCTGCCCTGACACAGAGGACATGCGGCCTGGCCAGGTTTCTCCCCTCCCTTCCCTCTCTCACCCAAACTTACCTGCCCCTGCCTGCGCTACACTCC